CAACCTCGCCTTCAATATCGCCATTTTGTTGGAATCCGGCCCGACAAGTCTGACTGGCGGGTTGGTTGAAAGAGTAGTGCCCGAGTCCCGGCAACAGGAGATCGGAGACGTGAAGAGGTAGTCGGCACTTGGACGGACAAGCAAGCGCACACTTGAGCCCCGTTGACGCAGAGACGAAGCCGAGACGAAACAACGACCAACTTTGGCTAAAGCTCGAACCGACACTCGATTCAATAACCTCCCTTCCTGCAAATAGTTCATTCGACCCTCCGTCCATCCATCTGTCCGTCCACCCGTCCATTTATCCATTCATCCATCTGTCCATCTATTCATCCAACTGTTCATCCACCCGTCAATTCATATCATCATAAATCCGTCCATCCATCTATCCGTCCACCCGTCCATTTATCCATTCATCCATCTGTCCATCTATTCATCCAACTCTTCATCCACCCGTCAATTCATATCATCATAAATCCGTCCATCCATCTATCCGTCCACCCGTCCATTTATCCATTTATCCATCTGTCCATCTATTCATCCAACTGTTCATCCACCCGTCAATTCATATCATCATAAATACGTCCATCCATCTATCCGTCCACCCGTCCATTTATCCATTCATCCATCTGTCCATCTATTCATCAAACTGCTCATCCACCCGTCAATTCATATCATCATAAATCCGTCCATCCATCTGTCCGTCCACCAGTTCACCTATCCATTCATCCATCTGTCCATCTATTCATCCAACTGTTCATCCACCCGTCAATTCATATCATCATAAATCCGTCCATCCATCTATCCGTCCACCCGTCCATTTATCCATTCATCCATCTGTCCATCTATTCATCCAACTGTTCATCCACCCGTCAATTCATATCATCATAAATCCGTCCATCCATCTGTCCTTCCACCAGTTCACCTATCCATTCATCCATCTGTCCATCCATTCATCCAACTGTTCATCCTTCCATCCATCTATCTGTCCACCCATCCACCTATCCATTCATCCATCTGTCCATCTATTAATCCAAATGTCCCTCCGTCCGTCAATTTATATTCTCATCAATCCGTCCATCCATCTGTCTGTCCACCCGTCCACCTATCCATTCATCCATCTGTTCATCTATTTATCCAACTGTCTATCCGTCCGTCAATTCATATTTTCATTAATCAGTCCATCCATTTGTCCGTCCGTTCATCTGTCTATGTATCCACTGTCCTTCCATCCGTCCACTCAATAATCCATGCTTATATCCACCTGTCCATCCATCCGTCCAACCACCCACCCGTCCCAATATTCCTCTACTCATCCAACTGTCCACCCATCCGTCCATCCACTCATCCGTCTCTCCATCCATCCATCTCGACATCTTTTTATCCATCCATCCGTCTGTTCACCCACATAGCCATCCATCTGTCTATCCACCCGTCCAACCACCCACCCGTCTCAATATTCATCTACTCATCCAACTGTCTATCCACTCATCTGTCTCTCCATCCATCCATCTGTACATCTTTCTATCCATCCACCCGTCTGTCCACCCACATAGCCATACGTCCGTCCACCTATCCGACCACCCTTCAGAACATCCATCTATTCGTCCAACTGTCCACCCATTCGTTCATTCATATGTTCATCCATCAATCCCTTCATCTTTCCATTCGTTCACCCACCCGCCTGCCCATCCTTCCAAACTTTCACCTATATGTCTATCTATCCACATAAGCTCTGGGAATACATCCACTTTTATTATACTAGGCAGAATCTATTCACATGTCAATTGGCCAGCTATGAAAAGAAGCTGGGTTTCGAAGAATCTCTTATGGGATAAATACCGGCGTACCTTTCATATCTTTTGAGAAAGACCATTGACTCCATCAACTATCTATCAGCCTGTAGGATAGTTGTGTAGGCCATTTAGTTGTCGGTCAGTTTACGTGGTGCCTCTCCAACCTGATCCATAACGATGGGGCAAAGGAGTATTATGGTCGCCTTGGCTACTGCCATCCACATGACTCACAGCGAAACTGCACAATCCCGTCGGTTGCAATGACCAATGCATGACTGTTGCATCAATGATCCCCTAAAAAATGTCAGTTGGCGGAGACTTGGCTGGCCTGGAATATCGCATGTGCTCTGTGTGAAAAGCACTGGCTCGAATCCCGTCACAGTTGCAGATACGAGGCCAAATTGGCGGTCTCGTCAGTCCAATCCAGTCGAGTCCAGTCCAGTTGGAGTCGAGCCGGGGTGAGATACCCTCTTGATGGGGGATGCTGAGTGGACATTAAATGCCATCCTGAGGCCTACTCATCTGAAAATGGAGAAATTGCGTAAGAACTGCCGAGTTCACTTAAAAACACAGAAATGACTCAACAGGATCGAATTTTCTAAACGTTTTAATTCATTCCCACTATCTCACACTCTAGCTCGCTTATAAATGAAAAGTCCTCAATCGAAGGTATAAGGAGCAAGATGGTGTGGCCTTTTGTATGGTCGCTGTTCCTTTTTGTTGTAGAAAAAGAGGTAGGACCTTGTTTTGGCAACTTGGTCATGTTGGTGGGAAGGCCAAGAGGAATGAACCTAATCAGGCGTCGTTAGTATGCATGATCATGTCCAGAGTCGTAACGCTGACGTGGTACATTTCAAGACGTTTCATCGACTATATGCGTTCTACTCAGTCATGAGTATCTCGGCAACGCTACCACTCCGGTATGCAGGGTCTCACGGTAGAAGTGACATTCACTGGCATTCTGAGAACTATTCATCCGATTCTCCTTAACTTGCCTCAAGCGGCTTAGATCAAGTTCATATTCAGGCAACCCTGACAGCCTCGAAAACCACATTATGTCGAAAATAAATAAAGATATGAAAACCAAGATGGTCGCAATCTCCTCTCGATTTATAAAAGTGGGTTGACTTTGTTGTCGCAACTTGGTCTTGTTGTCAGGGCGACTAGTTCGAAGTCGTCTGGCAGAATAGTTGTCATGAGTCCCAGCATCAGACAGTGGATTTGGTAGATTCTCAAAACGTTTCTCCGCCATCGTAGTCGGCATCATCAACGAGTTTTGCCATTCTCCGCACCAAGTGATAGTGTAACCGGTTTTGGGAGAAAGTTGCTGAAAGAATTGACTTCACTTGTCTTTTTGACAAGTTCGTCGTTTTGTGCGGAGAATGACGAATCTCACTGATGATGCCGGCGAAAGGTTTGAGAATGTATCAAGACCACTGTCTGTTTCTGGGAATCATGACAACTACTATGGAGGACGACTTCGGACGAGGTGCGTTCTACATAGTCGCCCTGACAACATGACCGAATTGCGACAACGAGGTGAACCCACTTCTTTAATAATAGTGATTAGCAAAGAATACAGATATTGAAGGTATGAAGACCAAAATGGTGTAACCTTTTGTGTGGGCACAGTCTCCTTTCGTTGTACAGACGTGGTTTGGCCTTGTTTTCGTAACATGGCCATATTGTTAGGAAGACTTAGAGGAACGCACCTAGTTCGGGGTCCATTGTCTGCATGATAATTTGCAAAGTTGAACCGTGGAAGTGGTAAATTCCCATTTGATGAGTTGTTGTGCGGTGTAAAGAATGGCGAGACTCACTGACGATACCGACAACGATGCCGACTACGATCCTGGCCCAAAACGCGTGGTAATGTACCACGTTCATGGTTTAACTTTGGAAATGATCATGCAGACAATGGACCCCGAACTAGGTGCGTTCCTCCAGGTCTTCAAACAAAA